CGTTTAGAGAGATATTTTTGTGCTAAACATTGTAATGTAAATATATTATCAATTGTACTGTATCCGCTTCGGAATCCTGCCTGAGATTCACGGATTGTATCATAAACGTCGGCAAAGGTCTTGAGTCTTTTATTTAATACTGTTGTCATCAACTTTCCAAATACATCCATCAGCGTTATTCCTCTATAATTATTGACATCATTTATATTATCTTTCTTATTCAGGGGAACTACTATACCCTTTGCCCACTCGTAAGGGAATACACCACTTTGCATTATCCTATTAAAAACTATAGTTAAGTATGATATGATTGAAGTACTACAACATTTCAACATTTCCGGTAGAATTCCATCCGGTCCAGCCGATTTACCCAGTTTCAAGTTATGTATAGCTGATGATACTTTTTCTTCAGTTATATCAGCATTAAGAAGATTATTCATAACATCATCATTACAGTAATTGCACTCATTAATATCATGATTGTTCATAAAAGTTTCTGCCTCATCTAGAATGTCCTCATCCACAAGTATATCAGTTAAATTAAACACATGCTGGAAATATTCGGTCCACTGCATATTGGTAATACCTGGGTTCCCTGTCACAGAAGGTGAAGAAATAATATTGTTGATGCGTCTCCAGAAGGATTTACCACTTTTACTATTATTGACCAGATCATTTATACAATGTTATAGACCAGTAGTATCCAAAGATAGACCACCGTGCTTCTGCTGCCTGCATGCTTACCTAGCAGGATTTATGCCATCACTTTGGACACCAGTGGTTATATGAAATGCTAACCAATATTAAAATTGCATCACAATGCTTTGCAGACCATTGTGACGCCATTTGTAACCGTGACGTCACAAACGAATGACATCGCTAATGGCTCTGCTACTGAAGCAAATAGCAGTACGTTTTACACTTAAGACAATGCTTATTACTGTCTACAAACTGAAAACGTTGGGAAAATGATGTTGGATGGTAAAATAAATCTCACCCTCGTGTCTGTTCATATCAAATATATCAACACTCTTTGATTAAAGTGGAAAAACTAATTGACAAGCCTCGGAGTTTTTCCACTTTTATCAACTCGTGAATTAAAATTGATATTCTTCTTCTGTTGTTTTGGATATTTTATAAATTCGAGACATAATTGGACGATGACGAATGTTTTGCCAAAGTTTCACCAAGTTAATTGAAAATGTCTTATTTATCAGTTAAAAACAGATCACCTTCCTTAAGATGGAAATAATTTTCCGCTTTCGTGCCTGTTTGAATTCATAAGTATATCTGAATTTGAATACACAAATATGTGGATTTGCAGAGGACTTAGGCATTGTTTGATCAGCTATTTCTGTAAGCTGATCTGAAAACAATATAATCGGATCTTCAATATCTTTGAATTGTTCAGGGGGTAATTTTGTAGTACATAATTCTTCATTTGCCTTTGTAAAATTCCATCGAGATGAAGGTGGATCAGCTGATGGGTTGATGGCTTTAAGAATGGTAGGAGAGTGATCGCTTCGACAGAGGTCATCATGGACCGACCATTCAAATTTATAAATGGCTTTGAATCTGTGAGAGATAAATCAAGTGCTGCAATCGTTTCATTGGCATGATGTAAATAGGTGGTTGAATCATTAATGTAAATACAAACAATATTGTCAGAAATGAACTCTTCAAGTATCTTCCCTTTATTGTATGTGTTCTCACTTCCACAGAGTTAGTTGTACCCATGCTTATACATGGTTTGGGGAGCTGATCATATAGATTTTGAAGATCAGATTGTCGAAGTGTAGATGACAGAGTAAATACTATTTGTAACGTTAAACGAACGGCAACAGCTTGAAGATATGTATTAAGAGGAACAGAGCTGTAAATGACACCCCGCCTCACAAAAGAGAAGATCCTCCATAAGTTTTATCCCCCGGTGGAGGAAAGGAATGATGGAAAATGTACTGTCTTAAATCAAGTATATCGGTATGTTTAAGATATGTCTCTTGGAGACATAGTGCTGGTGGTTGTAAATCTTGTACCAACAATTTCCTGATTCCTCTGCAATTCCACTGAATCAATTTTAGGGAGCCACCCATGAAGGCTCAACTGTGGATCTAGAACTTGTGGAATCGCTCCAATGTACAGGGTGTGATGGAGTTCAAACGGATTTGGGAGCGATACAGGGGTTTCCATAAAACCCGACTGATTCTTGTCTTAATAGGGCTTTTTTATATAATGAACATGAACCTGATGGATTGTCTTCAAAAATCATGTTTAAAAAAACCCGCTCCTCCTTTCAGGGTTGAGTATTTTGTCTCTGACAAAAGCCCAGACTCTCAGGAATATTAAATGGTTGGTCCACATAGTAACAGTTTGACACAAGTGTGATGTAACAAATCATACAAAAAAATACCCACGAAACAGGAAGTCAAGTTCCGCACATCGAAATGTCTCTTGTGTAGACATTTTCACATGTAGAGAATCTCAATAACAGTATCTTTAGATATCAAATATATCAACACGAGTCGACAAAAGTTAACAACTTCGAGGTTTGCAGAGGAGAGTTTAACTTCAGTCGACACGTGTTGATGTATATGATGTCAAAAGACACGTAGGGTAGGATTGTGTTTGTCATCCAAAACTGTCTTTTAACTAATTCAATTTGTAATCAGTAATTAGTAACGTCTTGTCTTTAAATGTACTGTACACAGATAACCAGCTTCGTTGGCAGAGGTTAGTGATGTCATTCGATTGTGACGGCATGGTAATCGATGACATCACACTGGTCTGGAAATCACTTTGATATGATTTCATTGTGTCGATTTCTCCTGCGAGACATGGATTAAATTCACCTGGTAGAAGCCGTTTTGGTCGATAACAGCGCACCATTGTACACCTAAATACACCTAATATTTTCGAACAGTTGTTAAATATTCTTTGTCTTAAAACTTTCTTTCCTCTCTATGACGGCGCTCTGTAAATAATCGACTCTGAACCAAACAAACCAGTGATTGACATCATGAGCATCGATCTACACAATTGGTATACGATGACATATATCAACCGTCAGCGAGCTATACCACCCGATTTCGTTAGTCGCCTCTTACGACAAGCGTAGTCGCGTCTTACTACCAATTCTAACCCCGATCTTCATGTATAAAAGTAGATCTATCGAGCCAATGATGCTAGGAAACCATGCAGTCAATCACGCTGTTAAATATATTTTTTTATCTCCACGGAACCGGTACTGGATGATAGATATAAATACATAAATACACCCTAAGGTTTATACACACAGCACATCTACACTGAAGTAACAATCTATGGGAATACACAATGTATACATCTAGTTTAACGTGTTGTGCAACCCTCCGTAATGTCGGCTTTCCCGACTTAAGTTACTTATAAGTTACACAATTTATTCAGTTACATTGACGTCGAAATTCCCGGATGACATCGTGCAAATCTAAACTCTCTCAGTTCAGGTGAGCTAGGGGCGGTCGGGCAGCCTAGTGGTTAAAGCGTTCGCTCGTCACGCTGAAGACCCGGGTTCGATTCCCGACAGGGGTACATTGTGTGAAGCCCATTTCTGGTGTCCCACGCCGTGATATTGCTTGAATATTGCTAAAAGCGGCTTAAAACCATACTCATTCCCTCAGGTGAGCTAAATAGCAAACGGTTGCCATAACAGCTGCCTTGTAGTATTCACAATGTTAGTATATTTAACGTGCACTGATAGTTCATGACTGTTGGTCTTCCATGGGAATTGCGCGGTGGACTCTGAGATCAGTTTGAATGAGCATAGAGAATTACAGAGTGTGCCTAGATAAGGCCCAATTGAATTTCAGATATTGTACCCAGACGGTGTACACTCATGAACATCGCTGAAAGTTTGTGAAAATCTAATACACTCTGCCTTAGCAATGCCTATCACAGTCCATTAGACAGCAGGTCCATACTGACCAGATTTTTCAAGGGATTACAATACGTATGTGGTGCACATGTACACTTACTCTTATATTGGCTGGACACCACATTTGTTGGTTTACAGTTACAAGATACTGCCTTGTGTCCGGTCAGCAATGAGTGTGAAACTCTGGCATGTGTGTTGATGACAGGCTACTGTTTGCAGTGTTTTCATTAAACAAGAGTAAATGTATTGGATGCGTAATGTCGCATTAAACATTATGTTAGTTACATCACAGCGTGTCTGTGTAATGTGAGAGGAAAGCCTGTTTGCAGTGTTATCATAAAACGAGATCTTCCAGATACTGTCTTTTCTGCGCATTGCACCGGCGTAAGGTATTGGATGCGTAATGTCGCATTAAACATTATGTCAGTTACATCACAGCGTGTCAGTGTAATGCGGGAGGAAAGTGAGTAGCTCTAAGACGTTTACCATGATCACAGGTATAGTACAGACACACCACGAATCATAAACAGGGCAAATGTGGGATTTACACCCACCTTCAAAGAATTATGGCATGCATAAGGGCTGCAGCTGTGTACAGCGAGTTGAAGCGCATTAGAGAGGCTGTCAACTAACCCCCTTTTTGGCACGCGGGATTCGGGGGTCTATTTTGAGGGTATTCGGGACTCTCCAGTGAGATACGTGAGGCGCAAATAAAATCGTATTTGGTATGCAGATTCAACAATAAAAAATATAATTGTGTACCTTATATATTTTTTCGAATTTTTTTCACTGATATAACTTCCAACGGCACCCTTTTATTACATATGAGCTTGATTTATAGGTTTGGGTCTATGATCGACATTCTGTCTTTGTTGATTGAATTCTGACATGTGCTTTTGAGATTTGTTGTAAGTAGGATTCGGGATTCAAGGGTTATCAAATGAGACGGAAAAATGGATGGTATTCGGGATTCAGAAGAGGCAGAGTTCGCACCTTCATTAGTCATTACACTAGGCTATCCGTACCCCTAATAAACTGTTATGATGCTATCCGAACAGCAACATTCACACATTCTCATGACACTACCTACCTGTGGGGGAAATTGATGAACCGGAAGGTACACGTTGTTCGCGGACACTTGCAAACTACCGCTACCTACGGCACTGGTACTAAGTTGACATTCACCAGTTGACAAGATCCAGTTGGCCGAAAAGCACTTTCCCGAATATCCACAGAGTCGGTGACACTGTCGAACTGTTGCTGTCTGAAATACCTGAAACACATGTCCGGCTAAAACTCTGTCCTGCTCTCCACCTATCTCTGACAGCCAATCTGATGAAACACATGAAAACATCAACATTAAGATGATGGTCTTCATTTTGATTTTATCCCGTAGGATGCCTTTTGTCCTTAACGTGTCGACTGTAATGAAGACTTGTGTATACTGAGGCCCAGATTTCCCATGACGCTCCCTTTTGGTCACCCAAGCGTGAATGTGGTTATTGATCTTTTGAATGTGTTTTTCAAAGAGTTAAGGGGGCAGGTTGTTTTATTATTGAATTCAATATCAATACCACTGTTAAAAGCAGTATATGCAAAACTATTGATTAATCGCACAATGAATATTATACAGATCAATAACTAATGTTTTGAGTTTGCGAATAAGATATAGTACGACGGAATCAATCTTTCAAACCTCGGTGACGATGACATACTATAACAGTACACAAAGGTGTTTGCAGCCGTATTCCTGTAATCGGAGTGGGATGAGTTAGTGTATATTGCCGTAGGCTGCATCAGTGAGTTGGCGTTAACAACACTTCAGATATTTCAGCTTGTGTCACCGCGTGTTAGTTCAGTGTGGGAGGAAATCCCAAAGTGATGTGGGTCGTAGACGCCAAATGGCAACGCAAAGAACAGAAAATCGTGTTAGGTACAATTTCCGTTGAGCGATTGTGTTTGGTTGCAGTGAGATCGAAAGTTGAGTGATGTATGTCCAACGACGAATCAATCTTTGCCATCCTGGTCGGCAAAAAAAAGTGATCGATATACATGATTACCCCGTCTTCATTGTAGAGACTACAGAGAGCTTCTGCCAGCATTTGGTATGCATCAGTTGTTTCGATAGTAGTGATAAGGAGAACATTTGCGTAACACCTAAGAGCTTTCCACGCTTTGACTGGTACGAGTATGTTCCCTACTTTAACACATCGCTACTTTCTAAAGATGTAAAATAAAAGCGACAAAACCCTTTCCATATTAATAGGAAATCTCTGCCAAAAGCAGAGTCCATTAAATGATTCTGACTTACATGAACATGTGTTTAGGAATCACTGTCAAAATGGTGATGACAGCAGGTGATCGCGGAAACGCCAGCGTATCCTGCCCCACCGCTGGCACCCGTCACAAACACATGGAAAGGTAAGTCAATTGTTCGCCTGGAAAAAGCCACGGAAACATATGGTACATCCCAAATTCTACACCTTGACTTTACTTTCTTTTGTGGCAAATATGTTAAACAGAGCTCTTCGAGTGTGGTGCGCGTGAAATATCTTCTCTGCTGCTGAAGCACGTGTGCCCAGATTCAAGGCAATTTGTAACTTCATTGGTCCAAACGAGCACATGTTCAATCGCTTGAACGTTTTGAGAACATGCTGATAATAGGGACTAGAGTTCCCAGAACAAGTATACATGTGAGTGAGTGAGTAATTGAGTATGGTATGTTTACGCCACTTTTAGCAATATTCCAGCGGGGGACACCAGAAATAGGCTTCACACATTGTCGGGAATAGAACCCGGGTCTTCGGCGTGACGAGCGAACACTTTAACTAGTAGGTTACCCGACGCCCCAACTATACATGTACATATGTTCTCCAATTTATTATATTTTCTTATTGATGGGTTGTCTTATGCCTTTAACATTAACATCGTCACAGGTGTGTAAACACATATTTCTAAATCCGTATTGATAACATAAATATTTTAAAATATTGAATAGTTGAGTTTACATCATTCTATTATTCTATAACACGCCCTGAAATCATACGATACTGGTTCGAGCCTCGCTGGCGTCATATGTTTTACGAAAAAAATGGAAATAACTTCTTCAAGTGTCAAAACAAAATACCATCCGACATAATCATATGCAACCAACAATGTCGGATTAACGGTACTTGACTGTAATAGCTCCGTCATTTCCATGTTTACATTAACTGAAATGTTGGTTCAAGGTCATATGGCCATGGATGTTTGAGTAATAGACAAACACTAGCTAGAGTGGCATTACAGATTTGTTTTAATGGGAACTGAATTCTATATGAATGTACTATATAACACCAAGGCCAGAGAATACCAAATCTCGGTCATCTGCCTTAACAGACTCTACAGGCCGTAAAACGCAACACAGTGTCGAAAACCATATGAATCGCTCATGATTGACAATCAATGATGACCCCCAAGTGGAACCTTGCCTTTGATACATATAGGGTGAGTGAGTGAGTTTGGTTCAACGCCGCTTTTAACGACGGTATCGTAGATATAGTTTTAAAGATGAATCACCATTGCTAGGGGAACCCCCGAGTTGAATTGTTTGTGGATTTTCGACATTTTCGTTTGAAGTTTTGCCCTCATGAGTCATTCCAGGTGATTGCAAATGAAACTATAAAACTTTGAATATACTCCAAAAGCATATTGTATCATGGATTATTAGAGAAAACTTGAGCCTAAAGATGAAAGTTAACATTTTTTACAGGAATTATTGGAAAATAGAGACAATGCGCAGCGGCATTGTTACATCTGGAATGACAATGGAAAAGTTAATGGCAACAAGTTAAGACCCATCAGACTGTTTAAGTTCCAGTGCTATCCTAGCTCATATGTGAAAACAGTTAAACGAAGAGATGAAAGAACTGTACAAGCCAAGTATAGGTGTGGATCACTTCCTATATTAAAAGGGTCGTTCAGGCAGATATTCCAAGCCCGCCATTCCTTTATCTGAAAGGGCTTGTAACTATTGTAACAGTTGTGCGATTGACGATTCCTCCTATTGAACATGTTGAATTTATTACTTTTTATTATTTTTGTTGTCGTTGTTGTTTTTTGTCTTTTGTTGTTGTTGTTTTTCCGGAGGGTATTAAGGCTGTGTGTTATGTTTCGGTGGTATAGTTGGGTGTGGTTTAAGTGGTATGCTGTGACATGTATATATGACCTTGTCATATAGTTGGGACTTGTAACTCGTGATGTTTGTTTTGTGATATATGTGTTTTGTTGTCTCTCATAGCCCTCGGGGCCGCAACTTTGGTGGGTGAGACGAAAATACAATATTTTCGTGAACATTTTCACATCTCATGTTTTTATTTAAGACATTTATTTCTCTTTGATCGGTAGAGACTGGACAGGGCACTGTAGGAGGTCGGAAGAAATTTATCAACAAGACACCTTGGCATCATCCTTTAGATGAGTATGATTGTCAGAAAACGTGCTGATAACATCATTAATTTTGATCACTTGTGCTGGACAGGTGCTTGACTGACTCAGTAGTTCATTATCAATTAGATTTTTAATTGTGTAAGCAAATTGGTCAAGTTTGCAACAAAAGATGAATAAGGTGATATATTTGGACCACAGTTAACTGAATACATAGAGTCGATATATAACCAAAGCTGTGGTCCTGTTGAGACGATTGACAGTTAGAACGTTGGAGTAAATGACAGTAACTAATTTGAACATTACCCAGTTATGTTATCACACACATCATCACACATGTATCACCCAGCTATATAATGTAGGGCCAGTCGCTTTTGGCATGATTAAGAATAAACTCACTTTAAGGCCCTTGGCAAGACAAAACTGGCCAATCTGATTATGTTTTTTGGTTTGACAGCAACATAACTAAGCTCAAAGATTTCAGAGATAGATACAAAATGTTACCTAGATGTTGTTACAATAAGCGAAAATGTCTTAAAAGTCACAGTTGTATAGCCTGTTACCCATGTTGCTTTAAATATGTACGTATGATTTTCATATGTCATGGTCCGTGGACAAAAAAACAAATAACATGTGTTGATAAACCACACTGACGCAATTCAGCAAATATATATTTGCTTTGGGCAAATATCTGGCTTGTATATATTATTATAGATATGAAACATTCTAGTTAATTGTGGACACACTGGGCACACACATATAACAAAAACTCATGACAGATGAATTAGTGCATTGATATATGCAACAAGAAAGAATCTTGTCTATTTCCAGGCCATCCTGATCATCGTTTACTTCTATTAGATGTATGGTTAGAGACAAGATCAAAGGCATGCATTAGACAACAGACAGGGTCGTCTGTTTCGCTTTGAACGACCACCACCTTATCCTGTCGGTTGGAGTTATCTGATCGGCAGGCAAATAAATGTGTCCAGTCCACCAAGGGGTTTGATGCGGTATAGTGTCGAATGATTTTGTGATAGTTGTGAAAACATTCGTTGTATATCGTATATGTGTGTTCCTAACTATCCTCTTATTTGCTGTAAGAAAACGGATATTACCAACAGTATGTCAGCTAACTGGAAGATCCACTGACTGTTTATATACCATATATGATTGAAACATATTTGTCTTCAATAAATGAATCTGGCTTATGTTAATACCGCTTCAGAACAAAGTAATAAAAGCAAAATTATATTTATCAAGTAATATTGATACAAGTGGTTAACAGTTTGGTGCAGTTGATTAAAAGGTATCCAATTACTGAGAAAAGCAAGTCTTTAACTATTTAATAATTAGTACTTATATTAAAATATGAATTAAGTCTTAAGTTATTACATCAGTGCAAACCTACCAGAACACAGGATGTACATATGGACCGAGTTCAAAATATCTAAACTGACAGGATTTGTTTTATTTCGATTCCAATAAAGCACTGAATTTAAACCGTAGCCTTTCAAAAAGAAAACAAATCGGTTCTTAAAATATCGTAGTTGGGGCACTTGAAAAAAATATGCAGTTTATCTTCAAAGGGATATATAGCCACAAGAGCATGATGCGTTGTCTCACTTGTCTGGGATGTGTCTTTCAAGCCGATGGAAGTTTAAATCGCTATGACCGTGTCAGAGGCGAGAATGGATAATCTGACAGAATCTGGTACCATGGTTTAAGTTAAAATATATATTTGTAACATTGTCAAAGTTAAATAATCCGTTGAGTTTCCCAATCATTTCTACTTTAGTTATTCTGTAAGGTAACGTATTCCGATGATTAATGGTATCCGGAGGGAAATGACTTTGCATAGTTTTCTGTTCTACATCTTAAAGCCTGTATATTGGTCTGATTTCTTAATAAGTAATCACTAACGGCAGAGACGTTTTGAGGAATATGACCAGAAAGATAATCAGGTGTTAACCGATTTACCATCTTGTAAAATAGTATTACTTTTGAATTTAATCTTCGTTTGGCTAATGA